GCCAGTCTTCTCAATCTCCGAAGAGGGACTAAGGCCGGCTAACAACAGGAAATTCATATACAAATAAGCTAACACATAATACCACGATGGCACATTAATACATTAAAATACAGATCAAATAATTACATAAAGCCAAGTCGTCAAAGTAAATCACAAATTCTTCATCATCCGCCAGTGTGGTCAACAGTTATTGATTCGATCATCTATGTTCCAAAGCCAAGATTTTACCAGCTTTCTGAAAGTCAGGAGGGAAGGGGCAGATCTGATCTCCACTGGGAGAGAGTTCCAAAGCCGAGGGGCCACCACCGAGAAGGCCCTGTCCCTCGTCCCCACCAGACGCGATTGTGAAGATGGTGGGACTGAGAGCAGGGCCCCTCCAGAAGATCTTAACAACCTTGATGGTTCGTAGGGGAGAATCCGTTCGGACAGGTAAACTGGGCCGGAGTCGTTTAGGGACTTATAGGTCAACACCAGCACTTGTGAGTGTAGAGAAGAGCAAACTACAGACCACCTGCTGCAATGCAACCTGAGCCCTGCCACGTGCACCATGGAGGACCTTCTTGCGGCAACACCAGAGGCACTCCGAGTGGCCAGATACTGGTCAAAGGACATTTCATCAACTACCACACTCACAAATTTCGTAATTTGCTTGTTTGCTTTGTTCTGTTAGAAATGTAATATAATTTGACTGGTTGTTCTGACACGACAAAGAAATAAAAACTGCGACTATAATTTTAAAGAACCAGAATAAGGAGTAAGTATTCATATTTGTCTTGGAAAGTGCTTCTTATACTTCTCAAGGTTGTGTCTTGTGTGATGTCATGGCCGATGGCTGGTACAATAAACTGATCTCATTCTGCCTGGAGAGTCTTGGGATGATGATCCCTTTGTGACCTCAGGCGGATCAGAATGTTGGGGCGGTTGCCGTGCTTTCCTGCCTTCCTTGCGTCTCCCAGTTCTCCCAGGAGCTTTGCCCTGAACGGCGACATGGGTAACACTGTCGTCTCTCCGTCGGGCCCCCGCGTTGTGGTGCTGAACTTTCCAGCGAATGACACGTCTCTGTCCTTCCTCAATGGGAGACAGAACAGAGTGGGAAGCACCCAGGAGGAGGTGGGCAGNCAGAGAGAGGAGAAAAAAGGCAGAAGTTGAAAGTGTTTTGCATAGTCATTTTAGAAGACTGGCAAGATGAACTTTGCTCACTGTCTGCTTTCTAGAGAGTGGGCAAAGCCATCCTTTCCTCATTAGCCAAACAAAAAAAATCTTCTCCATCCATATCTAAATAGAAAGATTTTGCATTACAACCCACATGGATGCTCAAGGGATTAACAGCAGCAGCAGGACACAAAGACTGTCCTTCACGAGAGACCAGGGGTTGTCTGGTCACACCAAGGCAAAGAGCAAATGGCTCACTTATTACCTGTCCTACATTTTAATTTAGATATGCCTCTTTCTCTAATCCCCAAGGCTCGGGGCAGATAACCATTCTTTTCTTATCACAGCCAGTGAAGAAAGGCACCTTTCACAGTTTGCAAAGAGAGTACAAAGGCTAAATGAATACAATGTGCCCCAAGGCTAACCCAGTCAAATTCAGGTGGGATTTAAACCCAGGTCCACGTGCCAGTCTATTAACTTCTCCACCTGTGAAGCAAGTCTGTTTCCATTGTGATTAGCAGCCCTGATGGCTCAGCAGACTTAGCAGGGGAAAGAAAAAACCCTGGAGCAGAACAGCTGTGCATTTCCCTTGATGTTGAAATGAGAGCGGGATATTGGTCCAAGATGACAATCTAGTCGCAACCTGCTCAGCCACTGTCAAGCGACAGCAGAAAGTCAGATGGCGCATGGCTGAGGAACACCCATTTCCTTCTTGGGAGTTCCTGAGTCCCAGGAACTAATAGAGGAACTGACCACCATAAGTTCAACCTTAGGTCTAAGGTAAAGGTTTCCTCTGACATTATGTCTAGTTGTGTCCGACTGGGGGTGGTGCTCATCTCCAATTCTAAGCTGAAGAGCAGGTGTTGTCCGTAGATGCCTTCAGGGTCATGTGACCAGCATGACCGAATGGAGTGCCGTTACCTTCCCGCAGAAGCGGTACCTATTGATCTACTCACACTTGCATGCTTTCGAACTGCTAGGTTGGCAGAAGCTGGGCATAACAGTGGGAGCTCACTTCGCTCCCCGGATTCAAACCATCAACCTTTCGGTCAACAAGTTCAGCAGCTCTGCGGTTTAACCCACTGAGCCACTTAGGTCTAAATGGAAGTGTTAATCCCAAATTAAGAAGATTCTTTGAAACCACTTCTGAAGGAAACACAACACTTACAAAAACTGCACTGATTCTGTAGGTCTTGTTGAAAGGCATCATTAGATTGAGCTCTTTTTATCATAATCAAAACTCATACTTATCCATAAGGGTCCCTCCAGGCAATAACATCTGTGTTGTAACAGAGCAAATGCAATAATATTGCAGAATAAGAATAAAAACCTATTCAAACAGCCGGTAAATGAATCAGGGTGTTTGTTTAATGAAAAAGAATCAAATGCTTAAACAAGAAGGAATGCTTTATTTTGGGGACAGAAAGAGAAGTCAGACCAAGCCAACTATACCCTGCTTTGTAGGTCTTTTCAGATATCTGTGGCTCCCAAACACATTCCAAAGAAAATGTTACAAAAAATGTTTAATTCCTTCTACATTTGAAGCTGTGAAATTGAACACCAGCTGGAAGATTATAATGGCTGGTAAGGGAATACAAAAAGAGGAACACAGGAAGAAGATGTACTTTACTGCAAACAGATTTAACACTGGCTATGGCTGTAGGTATAACACTCTACCGCCTCCAAAACATGACTGCCAAACACAGCAGCGTGTTTACTCCAGGACTCAAGGAGTAAGCCATTTTCCCCACCCCATTCCTCCTCCTCCTCCTCCTTCCTCTGCATTCTTTAAATAAAGGAGCATTGTAAAAATGTGATGCAAGATCAAGCTAAATCAAAAGTGCATCTTGTTTTTTCAAGAGAGAATGGATCTGGAAGTATAAATATGGATCTGGAAGTATAAGTAAATTTGAATGGACATTGTCGGAACAAAACAAGGGGCTGTCCTTCATTATTTAATTGCCATTTGCAGTAGTATTTGTTGTAACCAAGAGACAGCATATATGACCACCACTTTCCATGTTATAAAATGCAATCCCTGTATTCGCTGAGTATACTTTCCAAGACCCACCGTGGACACCTGAATCTGTGGATAATAGTGAGGCCTATATTTTGACTACACTTGAGCTGGATCATACCACAGAATAGCTCTGGGGGACCTAGACAAGCTTACAAACACTCACAAGGTGGAATATTTTGAGGGGGAGTATACTGAGTCCAGAAATAAGAGAGTCTTACTGTAAAATGAAACTCCACATTCCAGTTGTGAAAAGTAATGGACAGTCCCAGAATCACAGTTAAGACTCATTTATATCTTATAACACAACACATGGATTGAAACTTCATATTAAATAAAGCTCCTGACTATGTGCAAAAAAGGTCCATAGTGTACCTTTGGTTTGGGTGCCACTCCTAAGAGAGTTTATTCACATTTGTACTTCTCAATAACTTTGTCTCTCAGTTATCTCAACCCAACTCTAAACACAACCATATGGGAACAAAGACTTACTTCTTCAATATCTCTGCAAATCTGAGAATGGTTTAGCAATAGTTTGGTATAGTTAATATGCAAGTCATATAAATTAGGCACCAACCAGGTGGAGTGGGAACTAACGCAAGAGTGGGAAATAAGTAATATAACATAGATTGTTTTTTCCCTTGCCATCTGTGTATTGATTTACCTGTTTTAAAATAGGTTGATTTCTAGAGTGTAATTTTTTTAAAAAAGTTTCTAGCTTTTTATGGCCGCAATGAGGAAGGAAAGTGGAGATAAAAATAAATTCAGTATATAGGCAAGGAAATACCCGTATAGACTCGAGTATAAGCCGACCCGAATATAAGCCGAGAAATGTGTTTACATATCCTTCCAATGAGAGTAAAATAATAAATGTAATAATAATAATAATAATAATAGAGTTAAATAATGGAAATGTAGTAACAGTAATAATAGAGTAAAATAATGAATATAATAATAATAGAATAAAATAAATGTAAATGTAATAATAATAATAATAATAATGATAATAATAACAGAGTAAAATAATAAATAACTTTGACTTGAGTATAAACCGAAGGGTGCTTTTTAGCCTAAAAAGGGGGCTGAAAAATTTGGCTTATATTCGAGTATATATGGTAAGTCATTGGTGGATCATGAGTGGTTCACTTAAAATTCACCAAATTTCAGTTGCTATTTTTTTCAGTAAGATCCAAATTAAATGATCTGCATACCAAGAAAGGTTTTAAAATAACACTAAAGCAGATGCAACATCAATTGCATTTGCCATATTAATGAGAGGAATACGCAATTTTTCCTAGGCGCATGCTATTTTGATATGCTGACCCATTTCAGTTCTACCCTTCATGACAAAATCCTGCTTCCATTATAACAGATTATACTCCTTTAAATACTGTGGCTGAGGACCCAATACATATAATATTCTCCTCTGAAGTGGAGCTTCAAAAACTGTAAATCACTTGAAAAAACACAGAACAGATACTTCCAGGAGATGAGCGTCCATGTCCTCTTACCTTGCGGTTGTATAAAAATTCTAAGCAGTGGGTTTGCACTTGAAACGGCCTTAAAGAAGTTGTCGTCATTGTTAATAGGAAGTAGATCCCCGTGTATATCTGCATATCCAATCATTACTTCCATGTTGGATATATGATGTATGTGAAGAATAAGTTTGTAGAAGTCTTCAAACTTTCCTGGTTTGTAGCGATCCAGGGAAAATCTTCGAAATTCAGCACCAAACTATAATCAAAGAGAAACAGATGTCAGGATTTTGCAAATATATTTGATACAATATGAAACAAAGTAAAAATATGACTAATAAATAGGGTTGGTAAACAACATTATTTTCTTATTATTATTCCAGATAGAAGTAATAATGGAGCACATTGAGTTCCAAATAACTGATCAAAAGGAGATCTTCCATATTTTCATCACTTGGGTGAGTTCATCCATAAAGAGACATTTCTCAAATATTGACATATTGTTTTAGTTGCTGTAATTAAGTTATTATGGCAAGCTATACTTTGAATGCAGTTTCTTTCAGGATCAAAACTCTAGTTTGAATGAAAAAAAGCAAACCATGGAGCTCCCTTTCTCCTTCCATTCCCCAACCTGAGTTCAGTTTCGTAAATTCAGGCCGGTCTCCACTTAATGCACAATCTGGAGGCAGAGCAATAGCTAACCATGGCTCTGGACATTTAACTACCATCTCAAACCACAGTTATAACAAAGGTATACCTTCTCCTATGATCCCCCACCTGAAGAAGAGCAAAATACATCTCAACCAAAATGCAACATTTCCACTTTCCCCTGTTTACAGTGCTTCGTTTCTCAGCAACAATTTCCTCTTGCAAGATCTCCCTGAAATTTATTTTACGGATTTAATTTTATCCCTCACTTCCCAGGAAGATTCAGCTCCCACCCTGCAATATCAGCATCTTCGAACAAAAGTACAATAGACACTTCAAGTGCTTTTGAACAAATCTATTTACAAGCAGAGAGTTTGGGAATAAGACTAGTTTACCATTTGGTGATCAAAACAGAATCCCTGCTGGGACAGGTGACTAATTCTAGAGCGGATTTTGCCTCCATCTCATCCTTGAAGATTACAAAAGGACAAAAGATCTCAGAAGCCCTGTGCTATCTTCCTCCAAGCCTTATTTTCCAACAGCATCTTCCCAAGACCCAGCAAGATCCAATCACTATTGCTATTGTGTGCTTTCAGATTGTTTCCCACTTAGAGCAATCCTAAGGCAAGCCTGTCACGGTGATTTCTGAAGCTAAAAATGTGCAACTTTATCAAAGTCACTCAGTGGGGTTTCACAACCAAGCAGGAATTTGAACCCCAGAGTCATATTCCAACAAACCTACCACTCACAAATTGCAAGTCGGTTTTGCTCAATTCCGTGAGTGACATTTGAGAACATTCTTTGGAGAGTTTCCTTAACCCATCGCCATGCATCAATTCTGATTGAGACGGCACCAGAGTAAGTTAAGAAGTAGAGAAGATACAAACTGACTGTTCTTGGGGAAAAACTCACTTCAGTTCAAGTGCTCTTCACATCACCATATTATAAATGAAGTCTTTTAAAAGTGTTTTTAAAGTTTTTTAAAAATATATACTGTATTTTCTTCCCCTTGGTGGCACTGGAAACTGGTCACAAGTGCTGGTAATGAGCATCTTGAACTCACTGCATGATATCAAGTGCAAGATATGTCAAGTGCAAGAAGGCACAATGTTATCCAAGAAAACAAGAAGTCTGTTCAATCAGTGTAGGAGAGGTATATGTGAGTACTTGACAGCAGAAGCCACAGATAAATGTTAAGGACCGCCACAGAATGACTGCAGGTAGACAAGATGGGAATTGACTCGATGAAATATTGAAAAATAGAAATACATTCAGAATATAGATGCAATCTGGGATATAAAAAAGAAGCACAGCTAATAGGTAGTACCCATTGCCATTCATTGTGAAGGGTCTGTGGTGTAGAACAGTCTTTCTTAAATTACTTGATGTCCGGAACCAGAAATGCTATTTTTCTGATGTACCATGGTACAGTATCATATTTGTGTCCATTGGCTACAACTGCTTTTTCTGCTTAATAAGCCCAATTTTAAGTTAATGGGAATATTGGAACAACTCATGAAACTAAAATCGTCCAGTATATATCTGAACATAGACAATTAACTTACTTTTAACTTAACACAAGTCTCATGGAATCCTTCCAACATAAATAACAACAACAATGACAACCACCATGATAAGAGAGCTAGCATGGTATCATGATTTGAGTGGTAGACTGGGAATTTGACTCCCTGCTCAATCATGGAAACTCACTGGCAGATCTTGAGCAAGTCATACTCTTTCAGCCTCAATAGGAGGCAGTAGAAAACTTCCTATGAATAACTTGGAACTAAACCTCCGTGGACACCAATGGCGCACTATAATAACAAGAGCAATAATAGCAACAACAACAACTGGATTGGAAGCTTGCATACCCCAATGAAAACTGATCTAACAATTTATGAATTTTAGTCTTTGCTAAACAAAATATCAGCCCTTTTAAGGTCCTATAAGGGATTGTCTGACAGAGTGATGCCCAGATGTTTGCACACAAATACACATGTGAAGTCATAAGAGATATTCTATCACCAACAGTGTAAGGATTACAATGGAAAGATTTAATATGGCTTAAAGATCTCCCAAGTGCCTTGAAAATTCATTGGATTCTGAGTTAGTCATGCTACTTTTAAGACCCATTTTTAATCTAACTGCTCCATATTGTTCTATACATACTCTCTCACCGCTGTGCAGTCATTTACATTATCTTCTCTCCAATTAAAGGCTGGTGAATATCTGTGCTACACATCACACTGATAACTGCCTGCCTCTCCCTCTCCTTTCCTCTCTCTCTCTCTCACAGAATGTTTATCAGAAGTGTCTCCTCTGTCACTTTTGAGTCCTCCTATCACTAGTATGCAAAATAGCTTTAGAAGGGCTGTATGTCTCCCTATCATCCAGACGACACTAAGACACCAACCAGAACAATCCTTCATTATGGGAACCTAATCTACTTATTAGGGCAGTTTTTGCACAATGAAGTACAGTAATCTACTTTGACCCACTTACCTAATGCAAACATCCCTACTGACATTACAAAGCTAAAGAAAGAGGAGGGAGAGCAACAAGGGGGTTGAAGGTAATTTAGGCTGACAGTGCTACCAATGGTGACTAACAAAATAGAATTACACATGCTTACTTTCCAAACAATGGGCTCTCTTCCTAAGACTCTCCTGAATATTAGTCATCGTCTGGTCAATTCTCAGCTAAAGCAACAAAAGCTATCCAAGGAACCAACCTGTCTTAACAGAACAGATTTTTTTTTGTCTTTTCCCATTCAAAATCAAAGTCAAGAACAACATGTACACTATTACGTCAATCAAAATGAAGAGAAGCAAATGCCATATATATGAATTTTAAAAACAACACTGATGGAAAGAAGACTGAGTTTGATCAAGTAGCAAGGCAGCCACTAAACAGGCAAGTGCTTCTCACTGTTTTTCTTAAATACTGTGCAAAAGTCATAACCGTGGTACAAAACCTGATCTTAGAAAAAGGGATTCATTAGTGTTCAGATCAAATGGTTCTATTTTGCAAAAAAGTGTAAAGAATCAAGCCATCAAAGATATGCACCATCTTTATCTTCTACCTTTCCAACAGCTCTGTTTTCCCAGCAGGGAAAGTCTCATGTGAATTAACCAAGAAATTTCCAGGGAAACATGGTGTGATAAAATGAAGCAATTGGCTTAAACAATTAAAGAGAAAGATTTAACACCATCACAACAAAGTTACTTTTCCAGACTCTGGTAATGTTACAGGATTAGTAATACAGATACAATGTGGTGCTCAGCTTTTTAAGGGTACCAGCAATGGAAAGTAAATTCCACTTTTCAAATTAATCCAGCTGCATGTTGCATTCAATATGTACATGCAGCTCCCCCTATATTTTTATTTACTGTTAAATAAACATGCAAGGGCACGGTTTAGTCAAGGACCACCACATAGCAGGGAGATTTAAACTTTCCCTTCATTAGTTTCCTTCCCTTTCTCCACTACAAGAATGACAAAAGACTTGTGCTGGTACTAATGGAGGCTGTATATCTTAACTGATCTGCAGATAACTCTCAATAGAGCAAGACTGACTTTATTTAAAGTTATTTTCAATACCTGGTTATCAGAAGTTAATTTGCATAGTTAAAGCTTTCTGAGCACTTCTCTTATGTCAGCAATTCTCAACCTGGGGGTCAGAACCCCTGGGGGGATCCCAATGGGAAGTCAGAGGAGTTGCCAAAGACCATCTATTGGTCATGGGCGTTCTGTGTAGGAAGTTTGGCCCAATTCTATTGTTTGTGGGGTTCAGAATGCTCTTTGATTGTAGGTGAACTATAAATCCCTGCAACTACAACTCCCAAATGTCAAGTTTATTGCCGCTAAACTGTACCAGTGTTCATATTTAGGCACACTGAGTACTTGTGCCAAGTTTGGCTCAGATCTATCATTGTTTGAGTCCACAGTGCTCTCTGGATGTAGGTGAACTAAAACTCCAAAACTCAAGGTCAATGCCCACCAAACCCTTCCAGTATTTTCTGTTGGTCATGGGAGTTCTGTGCACCAAGTTTGGTTCAACTACATCGTTGGTGGAATTCAGAATGCTCTCTGATTGTAGGTTAGCTAAACACTCCAGCAACTGCAACTCCGAAATGACAAAACCACACCCCCCCCCAAAAACCCCACCAGTATTCAAATTTGGGCGTATCGGGTATTTGTGCCAAATTTGGTCCAGTGAATGAAAATACATCCTGCATATCAGATATATGCATTACGATTCATAACAGTAACAACATTACAGTTATGAAGTAGCAATGAAAATAATTTTATAGTTGAGGGTCACTACAAAATGAAGAAATGTATTAAGGGGTCGTGGCATTAGGAAGGATGAGAAACACTGCCTTATGGAATTGCTTAGATGCAATCTAACTTGAAAATCATATCTGATACAATACCAATTGGTGTTCGATTTGGATCCCCCTGTGCATGCAAGAATAATGAGTCCTATTTCTAAACCCCAAAAGATGTGTGTATCTGTGGAGAGGCAAGTGCCACCACATACAGGACAAATTCAGAAGATGGTGTTAGACTCCTTGGCTGTTAGTATGTGGAAAATCTCAGTTTCTTCTT